CTCATCACCCCAGCATCCTACGCGCCCTCCCCTCCATAACCAGTCCCAGGACCCAGTCTTTCCCACGCTCTGTCCCCAAGATCCACCTTACCTTCTCTCCCCAGACCTTCACATCCTTCCATCCAGGAAGCCCCCACACCACGCCCCACGCCCCCTCCTCTGCAAGGCCCTAAGCTCTGCTCTCCATCCCCACTTAGAGTTTTGCCCCGTGCACACTTCGTTCAGCCCCACCAACGCCATGGACTGCACCTGCCGCTGATTTTCAAGTTACGGTCTACGGCCTTCTCACCTGGCCGGCTTTCCTAGGCGATCCGCTGGGCTCCCTCGGCCATCCGTTCAGCGGCGCACCCAACCCTGGCAGCAGCCGGGTCCGCCTCCCCGACCGCTCCCCCGTTGGCTGGCTCCAGGCCAATTCGACGCTTCGGGAGAGCGATAGGATCTGGGAACTGTCTGTCAAACTTGGAGGCGTAAACCGAACCGCGATTCCAGTTTTTAATTGGTCATTACAGCTATCGCTTAGCAGTCTAGAGGCGTGTCTGCGTGCTCCCGCCGAACTGTCATAGGCCGGCGCGTAGGAGTCAGGAGCGCGGAAAGAACGTGCCCCAAGCAGTTTGGTTGAGGGCCGAGGAGTGACGTGTCGGTCGGCGGACCCACGGGGAGTCGCGGTGGAAAGCAGTGGCCCGCTGACTCCCGTCATGTGACAAGAAGCGGAAACTACGCTGAAATAGGCCCTTGCTCCAAGTCCCAGTAACTCGGAATGCGGAGCCGCTGGTCTCCCTCTTTTTTAAGGTAGAAATTGTTACGTAATACAAGGTGAATGGAGAGGAGGGAAGCATTTCAAACGCTTCCTGGTCCAGACTGCGTCTTTTGCAGGATATGTCTGATAGTTGGCTCGAGAGCTTTTACAGTGCTCTGGTAACTGCGATGGACCTGGGAACCTTGGCAGAGTTCACAGCCCCTAGCTTTGTGAAAGAGCGTGCCTAGGCGTAAAGGGGTTGTCGGGGCTAAGCTGGAGGCGTCTCCACTGCCGGCTGAGACAGCCACCGCCACGGAGGCACAGCCCTCTCCAGCAGCAGACGGGCTTCCTCGGGGGACCGAGAGGCAGCCCGGCCATGCTTAGTCCAGCTCTTTGTAAGATACCCGCCAGAGAGCCGCTCTCCCTATTCTAACTTGTCTGTCTTCTCCCGCACCCCACGCGCTCCCCAACCCCCAATAACGTTGCTGAGGGCAGAGAAGGGGACGAAGTTGCAGCGGTAATTCCATCATCCCAGACTCGCATGTATACCGCTTTATCCTCAGGCACTTCTCCCTGCGCGGCTCGGTGAGCCAAGACTACACCAGAGAGAGTGGGAACGTCCCGCAGCTCTTCCAACTTGTTGCCCCTGCCACTCATGCAGCTTCCTATTTACTCTCCCCTGAACGGAACCTACCGCTTATTGAAAGGTCATTATTTAAATCAGTGCTTTAGAATCACATGCATTTTTAAAAAAATTCACATGATCAGGCTCGCCCCAGGACGTTATGATTCAATAGATCTGCTTTTTTTGTTTTGTTTTTAATAGTAAGTGTTCGATGTAATTTTACTTTAAAAAAAGGAAACTGAAGCTGAGCCTGAAGGAACTACAGAACTTGAAGTAAATGCTTCTTCAAAATAAGAGTTTTGGTCGGGGGCGGTGGCTCACCCCTGTAATCCCAGCACTTTGGGAGACCGAGGTGGGCGGATCACGAGGTCAGGAGATGGAGACCATCCTGGCCAACATGGCGAAACCCCGTCTCTGCTAAAAATACAAAAATTAGCCGGGCGTGGTGGCGCGTGCCTGTAATCCCAGCTACTCGGGAGGCTGACGGAGAATCGCTTGAACCAGGGAGTCGGAGGTTGCAGTGAGCCGAGATCGCGCCACTGCGTTCCAGCCTGGCGACAGAGCTAGACTCCATCTCAAAAAAAAAAAAAAAAAAAGGCAGGGCGTGGGGGGCGGGGGAATTAAAATTAGAAAGATTGTGTTCAAGTTTTTTTTTTTTTTTTTTAAGTAGTATCCTAAGAATATTAAGGCTGGTCGCGGTGGCTCACGCCTGTAATCCCAGCACTTTGGGAGGCCGAGGCGGGTGGATCACCTGAGTCAGGAGTTCCAGAACAGCCTAACCAACATGGTGAAACCCCATCTCTACTAAAAATACAAAAATTAGCTAGCTGGGCGTGTTGTCGGGCGCCTGTAATCCCAGCTACTTGGGACGCTGAGGCAGGAGAATCGCTTGAACCCAGGAGGCAGAGGTTGCTGTGAGCCGAGATCGCGCCATTGCACTCCAGCCTGGGCAGCAAGAGCGAAACTCTGTCTCAAAAAAAGAAAAAGAATATTAAGATGTTAGAGTTTCTATTAATTTTTTCAAAGTAGGCTGGGCGCGATGGTGGACTCCTGTAATCTCAGCTACTCAGGAGGCTGAGGCAGGAGAATTGCTTCAACCCGGGAGGCAGAGGTTGCAGTGAGCTGAGATCGCGCCATTGCACTCAGCCTGAACAACAGAGCAAGACTCCATCACCAAAAAAAAGAGAAAGTATTAAACATGTTTCTTAAAGAGAATACATTTAAGCTTCCAAGTGATGAAATTAAGTCAACCTTTTCGAAAGTCACAATGTACTGTTAAAGAACAAAGTTTGAAAATCTAAGCCTATTTTTAGGATGAGTCTTTGATACCAGTCCATGAGGAAAGGCTTACTTGTGAATAAAATCAAAGGAAAACAAACTAATAGGAAAATCTTTATAATTATTATAAACAAACCTTGAGGTCCAGGCGTGGTGGCTCATGATTGTAATCCGAGCACTTTGGGAGGTTGGGGTGAGAAGATGGCTTGAGGCCGGGGGTTGGAGACCAGCCTGGGCAACATGGTGAGATGCAGTGTCTACAAAAATTAATTTTTAAAAATTAGCTGGGCATGGTCGTGCTGGCCTGTAATCCTAACTTCTGAGGAGGTTGAGGCAGGAGGATCGCTTGAGCCCAGAAGTTAGGCAGCAATGAGCTATGATCACACCACTTCACTCCAGCCTGGTCAACAGAGTAAGACAGACCCTGTCTCTAAAATAAAATAATAAATAGACCAGGCGTGGTTGCTCATACCTATAATCCTAGCATTTTGGGGGGCCGAGGCTGGCAGATCACCTGAGGTCGGGAGTTCAGGACCAGCCTGACCACCATGGAGAAACCCTGTCCCTACTCAAAATACAAAAAGCCAGGTGTGGTGGTACAAGCCTGTGATCCTAGCTACTAGGGAGGCTGAGGCAGGAGAATCTCTTGAACCTGTGAGGCAGAGGTTGGGGTGAGCCAAGATCGCACCATTGCACTCCGGCCTGGGCAACAAGAGTGAAACTTTGTCTCTAAATAAATAAATAAATAAAATAAACCTACAGTTTATACATGAACTATAGTGTATCAGTTAATCATCCTCCCTCCTGATTTATAAGCCCAAAAGTTTTGAACTGGTTGTTTCAGAAAGCAATGCTTTTACTATTTCATCAGTTGCTTAAAAGGAATGTTTTGATGTAGAAGTTAGAACTTTTTTGTAGAGCTTTTGGTCTTTCTTAAAGTATCGGTTTATCTTTCTTGTATATCATTGATAAACAAAACTGATGCCTTCGTCTCATTTGTAGCACACCAGAGTAATAGTATCTGTGTTCTTGAAGCTGTTCTCTCCAGAACCCATGTTTCTAAGTGTGTGCAAAGTTGTATTACTGGGATTTCCCCTGAGCGCACTTCTGGATTCCACTGTTTTATGTTATTTGGTTGGGTGTTTTGTCTTAATAAGACATTCTTTTTTTTTTTTCTTCTAGATTATCATCGATAAGACATCTATTCTAGATTTATTTTTCTCATTAGAGTTGTTTTTTAAGTTAACGTTTTTTAGAAAGCTGAATGGAAGCAAACATTTGCCATTTCGTGTTTAAAATATCTGTATTTTTGTTGTCCTCTTAATACATTGGGCTAGTGTAGAATTTGAGCGCAACACAAATTGGGACCCACCCACCCCAACTGTGCACCACAGAGCACAGAAAAGCACACATTTCAAGGCATTGTGACTATATGTCCATGATCGGACTTGTGCCTTAAGAAACTGATGCCAGTCCAGTCACGATTCGTTGCTGAATGCTGTTTCCGCTCTCTGATAAATTGTCTTTCCTTAGAGGATTTCATCTGTGTGTTTCGTCTTCTTTCATTTTTTTCTGCTTGTACATTTTTGGCAGGCTCCTTTCATGTCTGAAAGCGTAAAATTTGCTAATAATCAGTTCAGCGAAATGTGTTCTTTGATTGTTTATATCTCCATTTCTATTGCTCATTTCTGAAGTTGCTGTGGACAATGTTTTATCTCCTGGTCTTGTGAAGGCCTCTGCTTCTTCTTAATCTTTTTCTTGATCTTTTTGCTGGTATGTTCTGGAAGATTTTCCTCGATTATATTATCTTGCAGTTCGACTAATTTAGCCTCTTCGCGGGTGTTCACATTTTTTTTTTTTTTTTTTTCCTCTGAGACCAAGCGTCTCATTCTGTCACCCAGGCTGGAGTGCAGTGGCACAATTTCAGCCCACTGTGCCTCAACCTCCTTGGGCTCAAAGGAGTCCTCCTGCACTCAGAACTTGAGTAGCTGGGAGCTACAGAGCGACGCATGCCACCACGCCCAGGCTGATTTTTGTATTTTTAAGTAGAGGCGGGGTGGTTTTACCGTGTTTGCCGGGATGGTCTCTATCGCCTGACTTCGGTGATCTGCCCATCTCAGCCTCCCAAAGTGCTGCGGACTACATGGCCTTGTAGGCCACCGGGCCTGGCCAGTGTCATCTTTATAGCCCATATCATTTTAAAAAATTTCCGTAACTGTTTAATCCAAGATCCATCTGTTCTTTTCACAATAATCTGTTCTATGGTGGAGCAGTACTGATCTGCCTGTAAAAATATTAGAAATTTCTTAAATTACCTTTTGTTTCCACAATTACTTAAATTTCCTCCAGAGCCAGCGTGTTGTTATTTGTGTTTTGGAAAAGCTGCTGAGCTGATTGCGATGTTGATTCCTCTGTGAAGAGGAATGATTAGAGGAACTTACCTAATGATAAAATGGTCTTGTTTTTTTTTTTCTCTAGGTCTCAAAGCACTACAGAACATTTAAATTTGAAATCAGAATGAGTACAAGGAGAGGCTGAACACATGGCCTAATTGCTCATCTTACTCAAAGATTCCCTGAATTCCAGTGTTTTATCCAGCTTTGAGACCTATGGAAAAATAGCTAATCATGTAATTCTTGAAATTTTTGCATATTCATTTGCTTGTCAGTTTCTCTTACTGGACTGTCAGGTCCTAGAAGGCAATAATCATATCTTTCTGGTTGACCCTTGAGTCCCCAGTCCCTTGCTCAGTACCTGACACAGAAGGTGCTCAAATACTTGTTACATGATTAAGTCATAATTCCCTCACTTGATCCTTTAGTGGTTTTGCAAACTCATTTTAGGTCCATCCAAAATTTGTACTGGTGTATGGCTCTCATTGTTACAAATGTGTAAATTACACTGACCTGAAGTCAGCCTCCTTTTAACTCCTATAGGTTATACAACTTAGGCAGAATATCGTTTTTTTTTTATTTTGAGATGGAGTCTCACTCTGTTGCCCAGGCTGGAGTGCAGTGGCGCAATCTCGGCTCACTGCAACCTCTGCCTGGCAGGTTCAAGCGATCCTCCTGCCTCAGACCCCTGAGTGGCTGGGACCACAGGCGCGTGCCACCTCGCCCAGCTAATTTTTTGTATTTTAAGTAGAGACGG